TAGCTTAATATCGCCTGCTTTAGAAACCTGTTTAGTTGTGCCCAGTGTCGCAATGAGTGCATCTTCACAGGAGAGCTGTTGCTAGAAAAATACGAAGAATGAACTTTTAATGCACCTGCTCGTCTTTAGTCAACATGTTTTGTTTTCAAATAAATGAATGCATGCTAAAATATGTACATTCATTCATGTAAATTCCATCCATCCTAATTCTAACTGCTTTGCTTTATCGAATACAGGGTCACAGAACAGCTAGAGCTTATCTCAACAAGCAATGGGCTTGCCCATTTTGTCTGTTAAATACGATGTCCGTTTAAGCAAAGTCATTTAAACATGGGGTTTACTGTACTGGCAAAAACAATCTGAGTATTTGAAAAGATATACAGTTCTAGCATTATTCTCACTGCTTATTGCAGAGTGTTGAGGATCAAAATGCTGAATCTACAACCGTAACTTGTGCACCAGGGTACTGACTTTCTAGTGGTGAAAATACCAGCATTCATGGATCAGTGTTACAGTTCCAGCACCAGAAAAACCACAAAACAGTCCTCAGTGTCCCAGAGAGACAGAAGTGACTGAAGGGTGGGAGCACTATAGAACAGGCATTCTGACACAGGAAGTTAACCTAGATTAGAGCAATCAAAAATCTCAGAACCTGTACGGGCCAGACATTACAATAGGTAACATTCAAAGAGACATAATGTTAGGACTGTGGCACGGATCACCAATTTCAGATATGAGTTATATCACAGTCTGCTATAATTGCAGTCATGAAAAGCTGTATATATAAAGAAGTGGCCATCATGGGAACTTTTAATTGGCCTCACATGGACTGGGAAAGAAAAAAAACATCAAGGACATCAGCAGCTGCTAAAGTAGACAAGGCTAATTACTGCTTTCTGACTAAGTTTGTGAGAACAGCTACTATACGGAATGTCTGAATTGATGTAACTTTTCTCAAGCAATCAAACAAGAGCAGGGAAACCGTAGGTGAGGGGACCTTAGGGGAACTGCATTTATTCTGGCAAAGAAATGAAGGCTTATAATTCCAAGAAACCTGACAATACGGAACTGAGGTATAGTTGAAAGACGCAAAATGGAATGAAATGGATATTGAATCAGTAGAGGGAGAGCAGCAACACTTTGGAAATTCTGTCTGAAGAGCAAAACAAATTTCTACCCTTGACTAAGTCAATCAGGGTCCCAAAAACAGTAGCTCCAATGGTTCAATGAGGAATATCATACAGGATCAAAATGCAATTCAACCAGTTATCACGATTAAGTCAAGATTTTAAAAAGGGCCAAAACAGATGTATGAAAGAATTTTGCAATGAAGACTAAAGTTTTTTTTTTTAATGTTGCGGCATCAAAATGAGGGCCCTGGGTGATGTGAGTCTCACAGATAACGGTTGGGGAATTTCTGCAGAAATCGCACTATTGTAAGTTGTTGAGCCATCTGGTCTCCTTCTCAAACTGTTACCTACTTTCTGAGCTTGTGGGTTGCTTATCTAATCAAATCAGCCTCAGCTGTCCAGAAGCCCTTTAACAGATACAGAGTTGAGTTCGCTTGCTCGTTTGAAGGACAAGAAGAATAACCTGCCTCCACCTTCACTCAGGTGTTTATCAAGGAAGACAGTGACGGCATGCCTCAGCCCAAAAGGCAAAGTTCTAGTTTAGATCATATTAGCAGAGATGTGGCTGGCATTAAGATAAGCGTTTGCAGGTTAGTAAAAAACAACTTGTCGGATGTCAGAGAACAGCCAGTGGGTATCAGTTTGAGGTGTAAAATAAATCTCCTTCACTTCTTCCCCAGTGAAAAATGGCCTGAGGACCACACAACAGCAGTCCTCTGTTGCCCAGAGAGAAGGCCAGTGACACTGGAGAGCAGAACTGCACACAGGGACTGGGCACAAACAAGGAGCGGCGGACATGGAGACATCACTGCACATCAAAGCACAGGTGAGGGTGTGACCGTCGCTCGGGCCCTCGCCGCTCCACCCCGCCGGTTCGTCCCGCAACACCTGGGGCGCGAACTCGGGTCTCTCGGGTAGCGCAGCAGGGAGCCAGCCGGGTGGGGGAGGGCGAAGACGTCACCGTGCCCAAACCGGCTCCGCTACAAGGGCACATAGAGGTATGTGCATTGGGAGAACAGAAGCACACGGGCGTAGCAGCAGAGATGCAGCCCCAGCCCTCCTCCTGCCAGATGCTTTGCAGGAAGAACCATCGTACGCGCGAGAGTTTTACGCGCACTTCGCTCGCGCAGACTTCGTTTCGTTTCGAGTTTAGTTGAATTAACAAACTCGCCTTCCATGTGTTGACAGGAACAGTCCACCAAGAAGAAAAAGATCCGCCACGTTTCTGCAGAAATGATAGCATTAGAGCTCCGGCTCTTTGAGTTTGTATTTTTCACGTTTCACGTTGACATTTGCGTTTCCTAATATAAACGCGACTACTATGACAACGGTACTGTCCGCAAGCCTGATTGTTTTTATAGTCCGGACTGGAGGGGCAGGAGGGGGTGGCCTGTTTCACTTTTAGCTCATGCTCATTTCTAAAAACAAGGGGAAAAGGGCTGCTGACCAGCCTGAACAGGGTTCAGTTCCAGCAGATGATGAGCGAATGCCAGTGGTCATTTGAGGGAAACAAAACCCCAAACGAAATGCAGTTACCTAATCGGGGCAGCGCTCACAGTGTTGATCGCCAGGCTCTGGTGTCCTATTGAAAACGTAATAAACAAACGAATACACGGCTCTTCATTTTCACGGCTCTTCATTTTCAGATTTACCTCACCCCCCAGAGCTCTCCATGGAAACTTAAACTGGCGTTTTGCGAACGGCCGACGGCTGGCGTTCCCTGTCAGATGTCATACCCAACACCTCACCCCCCGCCCGCCCGCCTCTCCCAGCCACTGGCTGCACGTTACTGGGAGGTCTGTCGATACAGTATTTCGCTGTCAGGAGAAGCAGTGCTCCGAGCTCTGGTCTCCCCTCCCTCATGTCGGCTTTGCGGGAGCTCCGGGCGCACGGGCGCTCGCTGGTGGCGCGTCTCCCGGCTCTCTCGCTTGATTAGGGAATTTGAAAGTCCGGAGGACGGCCCCAGCGCTGGACGGCGCAGAACTGTGTCTGTCTCTCGCCTCTCCCGGGAGCCACGCGAGGCAGTTGCCTGATCGCTTTGGCTCGGGCAGATCTGGGGAAGCCAGCTCCACTAGGGCGCCAGGGATTAGCGACAGGTAAGTGGTCCGATGGAAGCTGATGGAAACCGGTGGCTATTCTGTAATGCATTGTATTGTGGGCAGCGGCCATCTGGCAGAAATATTCGTCCCGAATGCCTCTTTCGTCGAAAATCGATTAACACGGTGCGCCGGGATATCAGCACTTTAATTCACCATAATGTTATCCAGGTTTGCGGAACGCGGGCAGGCAGCGCTTGACACGACCCTGGTCTCGCTTGGATCCGACGGCACTTCTTGTCCTGCGCATCCCAAAGTTACAACTAGTTGGCTTTAAAGCAAAACGAGACACCGCAGAATAGATTTATTCCTGCTCCATTTTTATCCATGCGCTATGAGAGAACTGTTATTCTGATTTTGTGCTTTTCATTGTAATTGTTAGCCATGGATCGCCCCCTGGTTTGTAGTATACCAGTTTCGTCTAACAACGTTATTAACGTGAGCATTTTCAATCGGGCATTTTTGCTTTCAGATTAGATGACAAAATCAGTATCACGAGATGCCTGGGTGGATGTTACAAACTTCTTTGTCAGATTTAAGTAAGTATCCGAAGCTGCTTCTCTTTCTGTAACGAAACATAAACAGTGATTAATATTTATATTTAAGAAGCGAATTGTTCTCAATGTTTCCATATTATTATCTTTACTGTATTACTGTGGTATAATTCATGAGCATTTATTTGGTCAAGTTCTTTGTATATGAAGAAGCACACAAATCGTTTCAAAACTGTACCACGTGTGCATTAAAATGCGGACAAAATCGTAATGAGATCTGAAAAGGGTGTCGCTAACAATTCTTTAATGTGTGCATTAGGTGTTTATGACTAACATTAGGATTGCTAACCATTATGACATCTGCCGCATCAGTGATGCCTTCACGTCTCATGTGAACGGGGCTTTCGAACACCTGTTCATCGTAGCTGAGAGCGAGAGGCTGGTCCTGTGAATAGTTTCCATGCAGCCTGTGATGAGCCATCCTCTGAGGCAGAAGCTCCCCGTTTGAGACCTCAAGAGCTCCCGGCTCTTGTCGACCTCAGCCTGAACTCTGGGATGCCCCTCTGAGCTGGTCATATGTGCAGACTGCACCCATCAAGCCCAGAGCCCAGAGCATTGCAGGTGTGCTGGATTGTTTAAACAGACTTATTAGTCTTTGTCGAACCCCTGAGGACCTGCACTGGCCAGTATATTAGGAACACCTTCACCCACCTCCAGTCAGAAGAACAGGTGATCTCAGTGGCAGGCAGTGCTCTGGTGGCTTCAGGAACCCGAGACAGAATTCCATCTCCTTCTCTGGCCAGATTGGCCCCCAAGAAGCCAAACCTTTTGGAGCAGGAGCGTCCATGAACCTAATCGTGCCAGATAAGCGGGCAGGGAATTTGGGGGACTGCTGAGGGATATGTGTGCCCTTCCTGCTCGGGCTGCAGAGGCCCAGGGGTTCCTCCCGTAACAGCTGGTGAGAGCTTGAAACCTGCGGAGTCGGAGTCCCTCAGCCGGCCAGTCCCCTGTGCGCGGAGCCCTGACGGACAGCGGTCTGGATGTGCTGCTCCGCGGGCTGGGCGGGACCACCCCGGGGGGAGACCGGCCAGAACGCCCCACCCTCCCCAGAGCCGACGCCGGGTCTGTGGAGTCAAGCCAGTTTTCCCGTCCCTCGGGTGGCAGGTCCCTGATGCGGTCGGCGCCCCCCCGATGGCCGTGTTCACCGGAGAGGGCTGGTCACGGAACGGGTCGGATCCCGGCCCGGACCCGGCGGCCAACGCCACAGTGCCGCCGGACCACTACCGCAACTACTACGCCATGTTCTACTCCCTGCTCATCCTCGCCATCATCTTCGGGAACGTGCTGGTGTGTCTGGCCGTGCTGCGGGAGAGGGGCCTGCAGACCACCACCAACTACCTGGTGGTCAGCCTGGCCGTGGCCGACCTGCTCGTGGCCTCCCTGGTCATGCCCTGGGTGGTCTACCTGGAAGTGAGTTGAGTGCACCGCCCGCCCCGTGTCCCTCTGCTTCAGGACAAGACGTGTCCACAAAGTCCCAGCACCCGCGGCCCAGTTTCCAGCAAAATGACAGAAAGAAGCGAAAGGATGAGTGATTATTAATTATAGCTGATTATAATCTGGTGATTATTAATTAGCTGTCCCAGTGCAAGGTGCCACAGAGAAGAGGTTCAGGGACTTGTCCTGATTGAGACCCTCAGTTATATGTACAGTAATTAGGTCAGGCCTTCAAAGTTTTCAATGCCCCAATTCCAATTATGGTAAATTATTAATTTCCTCTGTTACCAGAATCCATACTCTTGGTGTCAAGGCTAGCATATTAGAAAGTTTTATTTTTCATTTTCAGTTACCTAAAAGAACTAATTATTGGTTTAAAGTGGAACCAATTGATCGGAGACATTTCAATCAATCAAGTGTAGACTCGGCTTCCTTCACAGAAGCAATGCCGCCTTCTCCCCCGATCTGGTCAGCTCTCAGACGCTCAGCAAGGCTGGGCCTGGTCAATACGGGGATGGGAGACCTCTAGGGAAAGTCCCATTTCTGCCCTAAGTGGTGTTGGTGGACCTGTAGGTGTCATTCTTCCCCCTGAACCAGAATGTCCAGGTCAATGCACTCTGGTGCTGTCTCTCAGAGGGCATGTTAAACAGAGGTGCTGTCTACTCGGTCACTAAAGATCCCAAAGTGGGATTTGCAGTTGAATTTTCTACAAGTCATTCTTGTGACGGTGGCGGTGACTGGACCAGCGTGCAGGGAGAGAGCTGAGGCTGTCCAGCTTTGTGTGATTGAAACTCTCCTGCCTGACACTTGCCCTTGTTAACACTGTTCGGTTATAGCCTGGTACCTGGTTTTCTTTCTGTCAATCGCCGTTGTCTTTCCTTCATCGCGTTGTCTTCTGCGCAGCAATGGCCTGAGACTCTTGGCCAGCTCGTCATTGTGAGTGAGAATTTGTTCTCGGATGACTTGCCCATATAATTAAAGGATTATTATTAGTATCATCATCTGCTGGGCTCTAACCTGTGATTCCCAGTACACAGGTTCTCTTCTCTAGACTGCTGTGGTTCTCTAACATGTGCCTGTGACTCAGTTTAGAAAATAATTTTTCAATGCCATTTACAGGTTGTAGGAGGCGACTGGATGTTCAGTAGAATGTACTGCAATATTTTTGTGACTCTGGATGTCATGATGTGCACAGCCAGCATTTTAAACCTCTGTGCAATCAGCATAGACAGGTAAGAGTGGCACTTTATTCAAGCTAAATATTTTGGTACTGTATTTACTTTCCTAAAGTCCCCTGGCCTTATGCAGACACCTCATTTCAGCACACTTTTGGCGATGTGGCTATTTTGGAAAAAGAGGAGGCGTCTTTAGTTTGTCTGGTCGGTTCACAGACTGAACGCCCTCGTAGGAAACAAAACAGACCATTTTCCTCTTGAAGTTCAACAGCTGGTCTTGGGAGGTTAGTGCAGATTATCTTTGAACCAAATCTAATTATTCAGCAGAAGTGTCATTCATATATACTGCAGATCTGTTTTGTTTGCCAGCATGTCAAATACATCCTTTTCCATGATCTAAACACCACTTTGACATCATGCATTTAAGTGGAATATTGCTTACAATGAAAGGTTTTTTCCAGTGAACATCTTTATCTAGGTAATACGTGAAAAGAGTTAAATATTAAATACTCTATTAACAGTTGAGAGACTTCCCTCCCTCTGGAGAAATTTAAGCTGTAAGAACGTGTGCTCGAAGCGACTGGTAATCCTTGCTTATATATGCTGCACAGCACTCTCAGAGGTGCGAGAAATCACTGCTGGTAATCAGTTCGAGAAAGTCTCCTCCAGACCAGCTCTTGCATGTGATTAAACTGCTTATTTTCTCGACTGATTCCAATCAGGATGGCATTACAGCAGAGTCTACTACACAGAGGCAGAAAGGATCACCTCTGGAGCAAGAAAAGTTGAGGTTTTTGATCTTTTGTTTGTTTAACACTGGGAGTAGATCCTGAGAACAGGAGTGAGGGGTGTGTTTTCTCCTTAGGCGAGAAAACGCACTGACAGGGGTGGGGCTTTGGTGTGGAACATCCTTTGTTACCCACAGTTGAGGATCATAGCTGCAGAGCTGTTTGAAAGTCTGCCCCCGGTGTTCATGCTGGCTTCTCCCATTGGCTCCGAGTACAGAAATCCAGAAACGGTGTGGGATAGGCATTCCAGAGGTAGGGGTGCAGTGTGTAATCAGTGCTAATAGAGCCAATTAAAGCCCAGGTTCAGTGGGGATGCATTCCTAGGAGTGCTATTTCTGACATATGAGTGATGCCAGAAAGCTTAATTGAGGCATAGGCAATGGTATCACTGATATTTTGTATCGCACAAGATCATTAAATATTAATTTCATACATAAAGGTGTTTTTATTTAAATTATAGTGGCAGGCGAGATATATCAACTTTGGCTGCACACCAGCACGTTCAGTCGGAGCTTGTGGAGGTTCACCCTCTGCCTGCCTGCCTGCCCTCCTCCAGCCTGGCTGGGGTGGGACACTGATGAGAGGAGCTGGGTCTGCCAGGACAGGACAGGCCAGGCTGGGGCTCACAGGAGTATGAAGAGCTAAACAGGAGTGATCACACTCACACACACACACACCTGACACACACCTGACACACACAGGAGTGGGAGAGTGATCACAGAAGGCCCTGGCCATGCTGTGCTGTAAAAAACGCGCATCATGCCACACTGACATTGGCTGAGAGCTTGTGCACCATTTTCACATCACGTCTTGCCTTTAGCAATTGTCAGCAGGATGCACCACTTCCCATCCTGGACTGAGTGCGCTCTAGATACATCCCCCTGACCTGTATGCAAATCACAGACCGACAGTCTGCTTTTATGCAGATATACTGTAGGTGTATTTGAAGTCATTAAAAATACTGGCCAGGACAAAGATAGCTATAGCAGGTCAGTGCTAACTGCAACAGCGCTAGGTGAATTATCTCAGGCTTTTGCTGTCAGAATCAGTAGTAGTGTGATTCTAAGCTGTTCAGATGGTCCTTTGTGTCTTAACATCTCTTATTGCTCAGGGTGGTGTCTTATCTGAAGTGCTCAGACGCTGGGGTGGTGAGACGGGCAGGAGTGCAAGCCATCTGCTATCATTCCTTCTTCCATGATGGAACATAAAATAAAACAATAGCACAGGGCTGACGCTTCAGATCAGACCTCTATCTGTGCGACACCAAGGAGTAGCTCCACACAGGAAGATAAGGCAGCGCGTCGAGCTCTGGTGAGAATAAGATCAGCTTAGTGGCCCTCCATCTCTCTGCCTGTGCGGTCTGTGAGGCAGACGGAGGGCGAGATGGGCTTCTGGACTTGAGCAGCGCTGTGCACCTCAGGGTTTCTTATCGGGAACCCGAGGCCTCGGCCAAAAAAGCTTTTCTTTTTCTTGTTGCTTCATTCTCTGTAGATAGTCGTACATTCAAGCCTATTCACTGATTTTCTTTTGCTTCGCTCTGGGCTTGGGAGAGATTAAAACTCCCGTCACGATGAGGAGACGCTCCAGTGGGATCAGGTGATCGCCTATTGACAGCCCTCCGGAAGTCTTTTTTTTCTTGGTGGAATTTTCTATTCTCGTGATAAAAAAAAGCACATTTAATTGTTGATAAGAGCTCTGTAAAGGCTGTTTTAACGAGCACGTTCGGTGAGCAGGGGCTCTGTGTGGTGGCCGGCTGGGCTGCGTGCGCTCCGTGAACGCTGCTGTCTCCTCAGGTACACGGCGGTGGTGATGCCCGTGCTCTACAACACCACCCACAGCTCCCGGAGGAGAGTGTCTGTCATGATAGCCGCCGTCTGGGTTCTCGCCTTTGCTGTCTCGTGCCCTCTCCTCTTTGGCTTTAACACCACAGGTAAGGGAGTGGAAAGGAAGGAAGAAACGGGGGGCATGAGTGAAAGGTCTTTCTCTAGCGGCCGGTGCTTTCCATGGTGTTGCAGCGCGTCATGTCTGCTGGGACTGCCACACCCGCTGGTGCAGGAGCTTCAGTCAAGCGCGTGGCTTGGCGAGCTGGAAGGGCACCGCCCCTCCGGTGCCGGTTACTGTCAGACACCTGCTTCACAGCGGGGGGGGGGCTGGGTGGCCCCTTTGCCTGTGCACACAGGGGTCCTGTGGCAAGCCCGCCCCCAGGTGACGCAAGAGCTGCCTCGAAGCGGGCGTGGCCCGGAGGGAATCTGGGAGCCCCAGTGAAATGCCCGCCTTTGCCTATCTTTAGCTTCCTGGCAGGACAGCAGGCCCATCCGCTGTCTCCTGGCAAGTGCATGGGCATTGTGGCCAGGGACGCTGGGCAGCGATGTGGCAGCGCCAACGGAGTAGTGCAGAGTGAGCAAGTCTCCACCCTACCCTGCTGAGACATCACCAGTCTTCTTCCGCTGCCGTGATTGCAGGAGGATCTTTTTGACGATGAGGTGGTTCATGGGGAGGGGGGGGGGGCACAGTCTGTCATCAATATATTCTGGACACATTGGACTCAGCACTAGTCTCCTTCACTTTCTGATGTTTCGCTCAAGCTGTTGTTCTTAGACTTGAGAACATGGGAGAGGGTGGAAACTAGAATTGCCCATTTTGCACTTTTGATGGCTCGGATTCGCGCTCCTCTTGTCAGACAACAGCTGGAAGGACTTCAGTGAGTGAGTTAACACAGGTCCTGGCTTGTGGGGTAGAGAAGATGATTTGCCTGAATAAGAAGAGGAGGATCTTAATCCTGTATAACATTGCCGTGTGACACCATTTATTTTCTTTTGCAGATGATCCAAGTATTTGTTCTATATCAAACCCTGATTTTGTGATTTACTCCTCGGTGGTGTCCTTCTACTTGCCCTTCGTGGTGACTCTGCTGGTCTACATCAGGATCTACATCTTTCTGAGGAAGAGGAGGAAGCGTATTGCTTTCAGGAAGGCCAGCGGGAACACCAAGTCAGAGGGCTACCCCCAGTCCGCGGTAAGGTTTCTTACACCCGGCTCATTTCTAAGGAGTCTGTTTCAAAGACAGCATATGAATTTGACTGCTCTGTCTGTGAAACGCTATTTGATGGCCGGTAGTGCAATCAAGTTTTTGATAAGCATGGCAAAACATTTAGGCTCACCAGGTTGTGTAAAAAGATACTGTTCTTTGCAAATTTTTTTGGAACTATTATTTTTATTAATTCACATCTTCATATAGTCATAGAAAAGATTCTGAATTCAATTAATTCCGAACCTTTAGGTTTAGTATATAATACCTATACATCATAGAACCTAAAGTCATGATCTCTTGAAACTCCAGGCCTGCAGTTGTCTGTTTCTTTAAAAGGTGATCTCTGACCTCAGTGTTGCTTCCACTGTACCCTCTGAGGCGATGTCATCCTGGTGCGTGCACAGTGTTACAGCACTAAGGGTTTAGCTAAAGCAAAGCATGAGACTTTGCAATCAGAAGAGAGAGAGAGACTGCAGCAGGCCATTAAATGCAGGAAAGGAGAACATTCTTTGTCTCCTTTTAACAGACAAAAATATATTCCTGTGCCCGTGTCTTCTATCTTGACAAGCTGTCACATTCAATAATAGCATAGCTGTAACGTTTCGCACTGGGGGATTGGTGTCTGAGGCTGTTCAAAAGTGAACACCGCAGAAACGAAGAAGATAGCCGTAGGCCTGGCAGTGCGATCTGATTAAAACATCCCGCCTTGCTAACGCTGCCCTCGATCTGCACCCCCACGCGACTGTGAATTTCCTTTTGTCCAAGGAGACGTGTCTGCACACAGAGGGAGCAAAGGAGTCCTTATCCAGAGAAAAAGTGGATCTGTCTCCCATAAAAATTAAAGTGGTGAGTGAGCTCTTTTCTGCTCGTTCAAACTCCTGCAGCAGCAAGAAAAGCCTGCCAGTAAGATGGCTTTGTTAATTCTGTTCCTGGAGCTACTTAGAATTCAGAAAGTAGCAAAACAAGTGAAAAAAAAAGATGTTACATGCAAGGGAATTCAACAGTTATTTCAATCATAAAGTAACAAATTTTATAACAATAATCATAACTGCTCTGGATTCCTCCTATTATTATTGTGGGATTGGAGGTTATTGAGTTGTGCTTCCCAGAGCAGAGATTTCATGTAACAAGTTTATCTTAACTCTCTGGTGACTTTCTATCACCACCATAACATCCCGAATTCTACATAATGTATGCGCAGGTCTTGTTTGCGTTCGGTTCTTCCCGGTCCCATCCGGGGTGGGGGGGGAGTCATGTGCTCTCAGTTTGCTTAATGCTACAGAACCCATTATAATCCCTGTTGTGGCTGGAATATGGACTGGATTTGAACGTCTTTATCCAGGGAAGTTGTGACCCTGACCCTTGATGCAAGAAAACCACAAAGGCCTATAGACACAACAAATATAGGTCTTGTAATGTTGCCCCAGAGGGCTCAGAATCTAAATCGGTAGCAGAATCGTACTTGGAATGCACTTTAACCCCTTGAGCTACATGGTACTCCATACCGAGGTGTAAGAATCCGACTGACAGCCCAGATAGATCGCCCCAAAGCTCTCCCGTTGGATAGCGCTGTTATTGCTGGAATCCTAATGAAAAGCACAGCAAAAACAAAGCTCTAAAATGATTTGCAGTGGAAGAGCCTGCAGATTTTTTTGGGGGGGCGCCACTGTAGTTACAGTTGTGATTAATATGTCTGTGTACCGATATGCATCAGTTGTCCTCAATGAGATTTGCAATTAGTACAGCAGGCTGTCTCTTGTCTTAGCAGCGGCAGGGACAGTCTTCTGTAATCTCCAAGGAAGGTGAATTACATTCTTTGTTTCTTCAGACCATTCTTATTCATAAATTGTATCATATAGCTTGGAGAGCCCAAAATAATGTATCTGTGTCACTGGAGGCCTGAGAGACAGCAGGTATCCAGTTCTGAGCAGCAGGTAATAGAAGTCAGTTTTTGTTTTTCATCTCCACGGATTGATGAAGAGGAATCTGGGCAAACATCAACAATATTATTACTGTTACTGGCTCATGACACTTTGCAGTTCACCTCAGAAACTCTGGGTCTTGATCCAGCATTTGAAGTCAGACTTTTAGGACCTCCTATCAGCATTTTTTTTAACAAACCTGATAACCTGATTCAGTTTGTGATAACACATCCAAACCCACATCCAAAACTGTACAACAAACTCTGTATATTATATAGGGCTTTGTGTTATCTCGTCTCAAGTGCCCAGAAAGTAGAAAGGATCTCTCTTCTTAAACCTACAGATGTTTGAATCCATTGCAACACTTAAAATAAATGTTATATCCCTTGAGGATTAAAGATAATAAGGACATAAGACAATATTATTGGGTGAACAGGCCATCCATCCCATCAGAAGGTGCCAATAAGTAATGCCCAACCTTTAAGACATCAGCCTGAACTAGGAAGAGTCAACCAACCCTCAACATTGTAGCCCAAGGGAAAATGTATCCATCGGTTTATTAAACCTCCTTTCCAGTATTGGTGCATGATCTTCTCCTAGCACGTTTCTTGTCATGTCCTTGTCTTCTGCTCCCTGAAATTAATGTTGTGAAGAGCAGGCTGAGACAGCCCCATTTATCCTTGTAAAGAGCTTTAAAAAACGCCGATCACAGCTTCCTCCTGAGTTTCTTTCTCAAGGACCGAGAGGGTTGCTTTCCTCCTCCCACCTCCCTGGCTCTTGTCACTCCAGCCTTCCAGTTGTCTTTGCACATCGTCAAGACATCAAATCGCGATGCCCCTGCTTGAAGGCGGTTTCTTCCCTCCCTCCCCAGGAGAGCGCCGGGGCGCCCGCCCGCGGCGGCGACCCCCTGCTGCTGAGCTCCTGCCTGCGGAGGAAGAGGCAGAAGACCGCCCCCTCGGAGAACAAGCTCCTGCCCCCGCCGGACCTGCACAACTACTGCAGCATCAGCCAGGCCTCCTTCGCCAGGACGGAGAACGAGCCGGAGGCCGGGGAGGAGCTGGAGGGGGCGGGCGGGCCCAAGAGGGCCTCGGAGGTGAAGAACCTGCCCAATGGCGAGACGCGGATCACGCTGAGACCCGCCCCCAGGCGCCGCAACATGCAGCTCAGGGAGAGGAAGGCCACGCAGATGCTGGCCATCGTCCTGGGTGAGTGAGCGGGCCCCGCGCCGCGCCGGGCCGGGGGGCGGGATCAGGGGAGGGGAGAGTAGTCGGTGTTGGCCGCATCCTCACCCCCCCCCCCTGCCAAACCTCCAGGAAAACTGCAGGAGCGCTTAGGAGTCGGCCCGCCGAGCTTCTCTGGAGCGATGCGGGATTTTCGGATGAAGTGTTTTGCTACCGATGGTAATAGAAAAGCTGTGAGGGCAAAAAAATAAATAAAAGAAGGTGCATTCATTTAGAGTCCAGGGGAATTCAGTGGTTCAGTTTCTTGCTTACAAGCAGAAGCAGCGCGGTCCTTGCATTTAGCTGGACCTGTGCTCCAGGGCAAGCAGTAATGGAGCCTCCCGTTAATTAATGCGCGCTGCCCTCCGCCGTTTCACAGTGACGTCACTAATTACCCCTTCACATTATTCAAGAACGTCAGCCTTGGCTCTGAGATCAGACCAGCTCATGGCAAGTATTTCTGTGTCTGAGCACCTGCTGTCAAGTAGTCTGATTCATATCCATGTCGTATTGATGTTTATTCCACCACCAGCCCATATGTGGTCGACAGGGACAGATTTACTGCGAAAGGGGCAGCTTGCCAGACAGTTCACTTACTGTACTCCAGCCCCAGTCCCGGAGAGCCTCAAGCCATAAGGGTTTAGACGTCGTCATTAAAACATCCATTTCTAAACTCCTGAAGCGGTTTAACAGCCAATCTGTTAAATTACACAATTTAGAAATCATCTGGAACACAACTTGGGATACATTTCAAATTACTTGCTTAGCTGCTCGATGACTTTCAAGTCTCTAATCCTCAGATGAGGCTCTCCACAGCTAGGGCTGGAGACCTCAGACCTGCAGGCGCTATAAAGACAAAGAGGTTTATTTTATCTTTTAAAACTTTTTAGGTGTCTTTCTTGTCTGCTGGCTACCCTTTTTTGTGACACACATCCTGAACACTCACTGCAAGTCCTGCTATGTGCCTCCTGAAGTCTACAGCGCCACCACCTGGTTGGGCTATGTAAACAGCGCTCTGAACCCTGTCATATACACGACGTTCAACATTGAGTTCAGACGAGCCTTCATCAAGATCCTTACATGCTAACGAGCAACCAAGCTGCTTTCTCATCATGCTTGTGGCCTCGTTCTAACGTTATGGAAATACACAAAGACAAATCATTTTCTAATGTGTAAATTGTGTGAAGGTAGTGGCAGCTGTTCTGCTGTAACCTGAGAAGCTCAAATGCTAAAAATAACTGAATTGAAAAACCGAAGAGGAAGATAGCAAGGTCTCAAGAGATTTTGCCTTCAGAGAAAACAAGGAAACTTTGTATGTATGTAAATCACCTGGCATAACAAGTTATTGCATGGCTTTACATATATTTTATATTCTTTACATATGTTGCCATCAGTGGATTTAAAAAAAAATACCCATGTAAAATGAGGGGTAGGTTTTTTTCTTCTTCTAACAAGGATCAGAAAGGAATTTCCCAGTCTTTTTTTTTTTTTTGGAAATCCTCTTTACGGCACTATCTCCTTCTTCCATCCAGTCGTTTACTTTCCCGAGCTCCACATGAAGACCTACGCAGTGAGCAGCATCACTTTCATAATCTCCTTGCAAAGCAGGGGGCCTCTGGAACCATTCGCCTGACAAAAGAAAAGCTGTTTGACGTTTAACTGCGGAGAACTCCTGGCTTTGGTGCTGTCAGGCTTCTGCAGTGCTCTGCTCACTTCAAGTCTTTACGCCGAGGGTGGTGGGAGAGTGGAACAAGATGGTCAGTCATACCCTGGATGCCCTGGATTCTTTCAAGAAACAGCTGGATGAGATCCTTGGCTCAAGTACCAAATGGGCTAGATGGGCAGAATGTCCTTCCCCTCATCTGTATCTCTTCTTATATCCCCTTTCAAACTCTGCATTTTACCTTACCGTACCTTTCTAGCACATAAAGCACAGCAGAGTGGCGGGCTGCTCCATTAAACCTGGCACGGGTTTGTGACGCGAGCCGTTTGGCCGGCTTGAACCCGAGCCGTCAGAGTCTGGCGCCGGGCAGCGCCACGGGAGACGGCAGTCGCGGTGCGAGACGACTGCCAGCGTGCCCAGAGGTGTGACGGGCTCCCCTGCCCACGCCCCCTCCCTCAGCTGGCAGAAGAGCCAGCCTGGCACCTGCCACCGGGCTTCAGCGATCATTAACGAGGCCGCGGAGGTTAGCGCAGCCGGAGGCGGGAGCAGCGCGGCGCCGGATCTCCTTGCGGAAGGTGGATGTCGGTGAGGGGGCTGCACAGCTCGAACTAAGCCGGGGGGGGAGGTTAATCGTTCACTCCTTAGCCTGAGCTGTGGTTTCCTGTTAACAGCGCCGAAGGTCTGTTAAATGGTAATGTCACACAGGAGCAAATAGACTTCTGACACAGATGGAAGACAAGGGACCTGCTGTGACCTGTAACTGATCAATATTTTAAGCATGCGGCGCTCGTTCATTTATTATGTTTTGTGCATTCAGAAGACGAACAGCTTCGTAGATAAAAAAAAATGGAATTAAGAATTAAGCTCTTGGTATATTTGAATTCCTCACGTTTTATTTCTCTCTCTTGCTGTGAGAACACTGTAATATTAAAAACACTTTTAATATAAGAGGGAGAGAGGCAATGAATGCGTTTTCTTTGGATTTGATCAAATCCCTCTCCAGTATGTAATGACAAGTTTGAAAGAGTTTGTTTTTGCGTCTAAATGAGGAACTTTGCTTTCTGTTCTTTTCTGCTCTTTCTATTTTTGTTTGCTTAAGAGACACCAGTATCCAGGGCAACATTAAACAATTACAAAGTTTATATGATATCTGAGTACAATGTGTGTACCTGTTGGCTTTTATTCGAATGTGGGTGATGGCTAATATCAAAGGAATATAACTGGTGATAAAATGTAGCTTTATGGAATAAACTAGTGATTAAAGCACCGTCATTCATCTGGATCGATGTGTCTGAGTACATCTTGAATGGCTTGTTATAGTCAGCAGTATCTCCAAGCACTTTTGCAATGGTCTTGTTATAACAAAGCATGAAAAGGCCAAAAGAAAACTCAACTAAGTAGCCTGAGAGTTAAAAGGTAAAACAACAAGCAAAATAAACCGTGAATAATGGAGGACTTGGGGAGTTGCAAATTATCATTGCATAGCCTGTAAAAATTAAGTGAGGTACACAGTCGCAAAACAACCAGAGCCCTGCCAAAGAAAATAAAAAGACAGCTCACAGCATCCTTCTGTGCATGTTAAACAGAAAGTGCCAGTGCCTGAAAATCACACACGTGGTAATAAAGCACAGTGATGGGGATGGGCTGTTTGTGGCTGGCTCTGTGGACCAGTGATGGCATTGCCACAGCTTGTGCAAGGCTGGGCTGCAGCTGTGTTCTGTGGTGACAAGTGAGAGGTTTCGGTCCCGTTTAACGCTTGTAAAACTCTAATGTAAAACTGTACCGTGAGCAAAAGGTGAAAACGACTAGATTGTCTGCTTACTACAAGTTGAAGAAATCTTTGCTGTTACATCTGCTGAATGCCTGGTCAATTCCAGCCAAACTATTATATACAGTATATAGTTATTTTTGAACAGACAATCGTCTGTCTGGTTTCTTACAGCACTTCAGTTTAAATTACTCGTAAATCCTTGAAATTGGAGGTACATCTCTGCAATAAAGCTCTGAAATGCTTAACATGAATTCAATATACCATTCTACCTGGGATTTCTTTCTTCAGGGCACAAATAAAGAAGGATTTGCAGGTTGAAATGAAGTAACAATTAAATATTTTATTATATCCAATACACAAATTAAAAGCGACTGCTATAACAAATTAAATGTAGAATTGGTTTTGTTGGGATTTGCAGGATGTATTTTAATTGCACTGCTCTGCTTTTGTGCAAATTTTCTACAATTCACCGCTGTGCACTGTACACGAAGGAAAGCTCAGTGAGCCGAAGAAGGTTCAGTTCCTTCAGCCTGTTGGTGCAGTACGCTTCTGAAAGCAGAAGTGTATCTTTGTGGCTGCTCTTCCAGAGAAGCGATACTTTTCTAACACAGTCTCACAATATTCCAGACTAAGATAAGTGCACTATATGATATTGAATTCCCTTCATTTAAAATTAACACTTATACCTGCCTATCCCTAAATGTCGTTCGCTCTTTTCTTTATTGTATTTTATTCACAAAATAAACAGAAGTGGTAAAAAAGGAACAAATGCCCAATGAAGTCAAAGTGGCGCTAACATGCATCTTGCTGATTTTAATTGATTATGGCCGAGAAAATGGTGCTAAGACAGACTGCACAGAGACGCTTTCTGTGGCTTTCAAAGGAAGGTCTTATCGCGTCACTATCGGTTGCCCGACATCCTTCAATCTGGTGAAAATCGCTGTGCTGATGGAATCAGTTCTCTTTGTGGGTTTGAGAGAGAATAACAGAAGGCAAAAAAACAGCACGGAGCTGCGAAAAATATTGGTGCTTTCCGAAAACAAAACAAAACAAAAACATTTGCTCAGCCACTCTGACAGATAGAGTACCATTGTTTTCAGGATGTTGTTTTTTCGTTGGCTCTTATCGTCATAAATTAATCGCTCAACATACGGAACACAGACCATCACAAAACAGAAACACATTAAACACAAACCAACCCCCCCCCCCATTTAAAACTCCCACTCTAGGGTTAACGTATTGTTTCTTTGAAAGTACAGGTAATTCAGACAGCAACGGCACAAGAGAAGAGATTTAGAGCTCCGTTCTGCTGTTCCACCCTCTGTCTGCCTCTCACGTGGCCTGGTGAGTGATTCCCCTACAGTTCCTGCCCAAGGCAGCTTTCTGCTGAGGCTTCAATTTCCTCTCGGCTCTCTCCCCCGCCTGCTGCTGGAAGAGGCGGTGATGTCTGATGCTCGCTCGTCCTGGTCTCCTGCCTTCAGAGGTGAAGAGCAACAGATTTAAGGGAGGCCTGAATGATATTGGGCTTCTACCTGCAGAAGGACAAATGAAAATCAATCGCGTTCATCTTTAGAAAACAAAAGGAAAACTAAAAAGTGTTTTGTTTTGCGCACCGCATTTTCAGGACACTCAGTTTTACCTGCTGGTTTCTTTCTGCAGTTGAGAACTGTGACTGTGGTTTAGTTGCAAACCACTCTAAACACATTCGTGTCTGTGCCCGCATGCATTTTGTTTTAATTGTTGTTGTTGTTGTTTCTTAAAAACCATTACTTAACCATCTTGTTCCCAGAGCCCATTTGCAATGGAGAAGTGCGTTTAACATGACAAAATCTCAGACCTGAAAAGCATACTCGCTCATCCATCAGATAAGAAGAAACAGTAGATTTTTCTCTTCTTCACACTTAGAATTGGCCCTCACTTATGATGACTTACCCTCTCAATCTGGAGTCTTCGTATAGGTCCGACCATCCGTACAGCCTCCATCTTTTTGACCCAGTTCCAGCTCCACAGTGCCTGACAGGGGAGTGAGCCCTGATTGGAGGAGTGTCCCATCTCTCGCTGATGTCACCGCAAGCCTGCAAACAGCTGCTGGTCCCGGGAGTCTCTGTTCCAGGAAGAGCAGATCCCACCCCACGGGGGAGCGTTGGAGACAAGGCTCAGCCTCGAACCAGTGGCAGCTGGGCCGTAGAGCTCAGCCTGCCGTGCTTTAAAGAAAGCAAGGAAGGCTTGTGGCTGGGGACAGGGCAGCAGTCCTTAACTTGCTCTGCTGAGGAGAAAAACAGCACTACCCCCAGAACCAAGTCAGATGGAGCTGAGTACTCTGCACTGGATGAGGACGTCTGATCTGAGAATAGGCTCTATCTAGCACACACCCCTAAATGCAGAAGGGCAGACCTGGTCAGATGGGGTTTGCTAGGACACCATTTCCAGATTATACAAAGGAAATCTCACTTGAAGGTTACGGATGTCTTCGTAGGCGTCCTATCCAGCCACAAAGAAGCCGAGCCACCCAGGAGCCCCAAACACAAGAGTGGATTTGGGAAAAGAACGACAGGTGGAGCCTGCAGTGTGCGGCGGCGGAGGGGAGCCGTGTTTGTGGCGAAGCTGACGATCTTCGGGAGACCGATGGGAAAACGAGCTGCTTGTGCGGTCGGGACTGATGGCTGGGATTCACGGTCGCGGGGGGGGGCTCACAGCCCCCGCAGCACTGAGCTCCGTCCCGCATGCATCAGGCAGGAGGGCAAAGAAAAGAGCCCACGAAAGTCACACGGCCGGCCGTATATTGCAAAGAGTAATTGAAGGGTGAAATGGTCATTGCTGGTGAAATGGTCTGCCCACAGGTGATTACAGTCATTAGGCTTTTTCAACCAAAAGAAAAGCGACCTTAAAAAAAAAAAAAACAGGCTTACAGGCTTTTGTGTTTTTACGGTGAGTTCTCCTTTTTTTCAAGCTGAAATAACGGGTTGTAAAACTCCAATGGCGTGCCCCCTTTATAAATCGCCTGGATACGAGACGTTGCACATACAGTATACCTCGTCAAGTGAGGAGACTCAATGCATTCTGTCACACAGATCCGCACTTAACAGTACGTCGATTTTCAAGGCTGCAGGAGCGGGCGAGTGCAATACATAAACAAGAAATCCTAATGAGGTAGATGGTACAGGTGTGGTCCGAGCAATGGACCTGTGGAACGCGGAGCCCCGCGCAAGGGCTGGAAAAACATAGGAGGCTGTCGACCTCTCTCGCCGCTACAGATTTCAGACCCGTACGGGAAGAGGACAGGTCGGGGGACGTCTCTGTCTCTGCGGCTAAGCCTCGACATGACGCTGCTGCACAGGGGCACGGGGAACGATACCGCAATGATCAGGTTGATCGATCTCCGCGGTTAGACTGTAGGACGGAAATCGCGAAATCTAAATCCCTATCGAGAAGGGGTCGGTGTTTCGGGCTCAGGGAAACTGCGGTAGATCTATCAAAGATCCAGCCATTGGTCTCGTCCCATGCAACACGTGCAGAAAAGCGGGACACGGCTCCTTATGTGACGGGACTCGAGCAATCGTGTCCTCTCGGCCGGAATGTCAACGAGTGCTCGACAAGCCCAGCTGGCGTGATCAAACGCCGGTTTCCTTTGAGCTCAGCTGGGTAATGAGGTTTTGTGGTGCGCTCAAGGGTGGCGGCAGACTCCCCGAGACACTTACCCCCGGTTAATCGGATTATGCTCGGAGCGCCAACGTCCGCATGCCGCTCCAGTAAGTGGATTTGAACAGGGCTTCTGAAACAACTCTCTCTTTTTTTATCTTCCTTCGCAGCCCAGTTCACCTGTGGGCGTGCGTCTGTCGATTATCATACCCGGTGTGCTTTGATCCACCCCCTCTAGGGGAATAACTATCCCGCTGCCTTCTTCAATCCGCAGAAACTAGTCAACTAATTTGCTCCAGGCTCTCAAGGGTGAAAAGGTGTTTCAAATTAGCCCCCCGTATTCCTTGAATGCTAAAATGCAATTTTTGGGAAATTTATAGGACCCATTTTTATCTTTCCGTTTATTTGTGTAATTATTTCCCACGACATTCACGATTCAGCACGGACTCGAGGCATTGTAGCAGTCTTGCCCTCCCAATACGTTATTTAAAAGCGATAACAAAAAAAAGTAGTTTAATTCCTTTTTAAACGTTTTTTTTAATAAATTCAGATCGTAACAATGAGTTTTCTTTGTGTGAAATATTTTAGTAACGGAATAGCTTTCTTCCTACATATAAATGTAATTCTAACAAAAGAAGAGGTGAAAGGTAACACATTTCTTTTAAATGTGTACGGCTTTCACGTCTTAACACGTATGCACATTCATGTTTGAATGACTGATTTCGTGCAAAAACACCGAAATGTTTTTCAGTTTGCGGAAAGTTTACAGGCAGTTTCCCCTGCTGACTTTAAGCATTACCGTGTCGTTTGTCCTCGTACGTATGTTTCCAAAGAAGACTTCCTGTGTAACTCTTTAACAGTCCTTTCACAGACCGGCGCTCTCGGGGTTTAGAAATGATCAGTTTCGCAGCTCCTGGACTTCCAGTACGGATCAGCAGATGGTGTCGCGCCTGTAAATGAACAGTAAGCGGTCAGCAAGCATATATCACACATCACGGGGAATGAGGGCGGCCGGAGATGGTGGGAATTTATCTTAACCTGCCTGGCTGAGGGGTGACCTTCCGGCCACAGGTCAGAGAGGACAGGACCTCCATGCAGACCGGACGCCACAAGGGGGGACAAACTGTCTCGCCCCCTCAGTTTTGAACGGAAGGATTTGTGAACACTTTCGCTTACTTGCGCCCTAAAAAATAGGTGTACTTTGTCAATGGTCAGATAACACTAACCCCGAATTCACAGTTACTGCATCGGACTGTGCAGGAGGGCTATCCGTAGCCTCTACGTTATCGGGTGTCAACATTGTTACGATCTTGTTCGGTCAGGTGGACCGATTCCTCGCAGTAGTTAATCCGTATGCTTACAATCGTTGTATGACTAGGACTGCAGTTATGGAAGTTTGTGCTGTCTGTTGGTTTTACAACTGTTTTTTTCTGACCGATTCAGAACCTCGTTACCGTCGATGTAGCTGCGGAAATGAACGCCTATGGTATTTAATATAATAATAATAATAATAATAATCGCGAGAGGGCTGATGAACGTGACACTGTGGTTCATCGCTAAATACCAGATTGCTCATCGTTATCTCCTACCATGAAGCACTAATCAGTGGCGTCTCATCAGTTGCGGGATTTCACTTGGGGAGTTGCAACGGCTCCGTTTCCACCGAAATATCGACGCCCCCCTACAGTTTTCCCCCGGCCGGTGGAAAGGTGAAAAGGGCGGAAAGTGGAAGAAACACGCAAAGGCGGGGGGAGGGATTCAAAGCTAGCGAAGGAGAGGAGATGATGACGTTTGGGAATCTGGGAGATTACGTCGGGACTAGTTGCGCTTTGCGGCATCTGAACACAATCTCAGTGCTCTCATCCCTCCCGAATTTCCGTCAGAACTCCGCATTATCACCATTATATGGGCCACGGTTTAAATATCCTTCGGCCTCCCAGCATCTCTAAGCCACACGTTAGAATTTCAGCACCAGCGCCCACCAGGATCTGTCTCACACGGACGGCGCCGGCTGCTCCCCCCGAGCGGTTTGGATCCGACACGCCGCCTGCGCCGTCTCTTCCGTGGGCAGCGGTGCGAGTCCACTTGCAGGAAAGCAACAGCGGCCTCGCCCCTGTTCAGACCGGCTGGCGCGGGTCTTTGTGGAGGTCGGCGAGGTCGTAACGAGAAAATAAATTGGAGCTCGTCACCGGGCGGCCTTCCACAAAGGAGGAAATTGAATCCAAGTCAAGGTCTGTGTGACCAGTCAGGGAAACAAATCCCTGCTGGACCGGAGGAGATAATTGTGCGCTGCCCTTATTAAAGACAGGAGAGACGCAACACGGTGGTGGTTTTGTCCCGAGTAACGCGTATTGCATTGGTTTAATAATGGCACACAGACAGCAGTATGGAACTCCCTTTAGACCGCTTCGGTAATGAAATGATCTTGGTTGACACAGAACTGGATGTGCTCTCAGTATTTCACACTGTTGATGGCCTTGGCATTTAGCATTGCTGCCTCAGAGCTATTGGATCCTGCCTTCAGCGCTGGCCTGCAGAGTAGAGTCTGCATGTCCTCTCTATGTCTGGGAGAGATAGCTCCACTTTATTCCCCATGGGCATGCAGGCTCATTATTTTATTTAATGATGGATTATTTACCTCTAAGCTTTTAGGATAGACTCTGGTGTACAGTGACTCTTACCAAGTTTTACATTGTTTTACACATTACCTTGTATCCCGTGGAGAATGTAGTTCCTTGAGAGAGAAAAATAAACATTATCCATTTTTTGGTGGGTGGAAGTTGAATGTATCCAACTTCTGAAAATCTGGAACAAGAGGCACAAAGTTATTTTGACCCCTGTGCATTAGGAAGCTGTTCTATTGACGTATCCTCAAGGACTAGAGCCTCACTTTGAAATGAGGCAGAGTGTGAAATAATTGGATTTCAAAGGACTGAGTAATTCAGCATTGTGTCATGAATGGCTCTTTCTGCTTAGAAGGGTTACTGTTTCACTAAGCTATTTAGGATGCAAGCACATTTGTAGAGTTTCATACCTGGAAATACACACTCAGATCACATAATGCATCTGCTCATCTGCTACCAACCGATCTATAAAATAAGAATTACATGTATGTAGATTATATTCATCATTCTGATTTGCACATCTTAATTGATTACTAACAGGTAGCGGTTTCCCAGGGGTAACTGAATACTGAGTTAACACAGATGCAGATACAGGGAAACAGCCCTTTGTACAGACTTGACCACAGCTGGAACTAAGAGCTGCTGTTTTACCAGGAGGGCAGTTTCGCTTGTTACACAGGCTGAGGTCTGCAGTGACAGGGAAACACGAGAGCCTGAAAAAAAGATTACAAACGAGAGGAGGGGGCATTGCTGTTTCTTGAAACAAAGCAGGGCATCGGCTTCAGCAGCCTGACTGGGCAGCTTGTTCCACAGTCCCGGCACCCTCTGGGAAGAGAAGTCACTCCTGTGTGCCAGGGACTGTGGAGGCATGCGCCCAGATTTCAGTACCTTTTAACAGCTTCCCAAGAGGCGCCAATTAGAGTAGATCAGTGCCAGCAACAGTCAGGCAGTCTTTGATTCAGGAGTATGTCTCTGTTCTCGGGAGCCGCGCTGTGGCTGCAGACCTCCTCCTCTGGGAGAGAGGGGCGCTCGGAGGTGGCTGGAGCCGTACAGAGACGCAGAGAGAGCAGCAGGTTTGAAGCCCCCTCGCCGCCCTTCCTGTCTGCTGCGTCACTCTTACTTGCCATTTCCGTCTGATTTGTGGGGTTTCATTTCTCTCGTTTTGGAAAAGAACCGATCTTTTCACAGCGGAACGTATGAAGAAATAAATACAAATGTTTTTGGGGTCCCCTGCATTAGTTTCACGTTTAGAATACAGACAATGGAAGAGTGTAAAATTAAGAAAACCTGCATTTGTGTAAAAAAAAAACCCTGTCTCCTTGCTCTGTAGGGAAAATTCCATAGCTGAAAGGTAGGCCCTGTCCCCTAGGATAAATATCAATGGAATGTCATGTGATTCCTATGAGAAAGGAACTCCAGAGATCTTATTTGGAACTACACAGTAGGACTAATTCCTTGCCATTTCATTTGTCAGCACTGGTCAAGCACGGATTGGGTCAAAGTGTTCGCACAGGTCTGGTTTCTTATGTGGAAACAAGCACTTCCCCTAGACCAGGAGCCCAATACGACCCGAATACCTCTCCAGTGTGTGTGAGACTTCGGGATTCTCTGCTCCTCATCTCAAAACAGATTCATGTACCTCTCCCCAGCTTCCCTGATAACCTTTTAATGAGGACACAGCTTTTTCCTTTAGCCAGAAAGCGCTTCCTACTGGGTATAATATATTGCTACTGCCATCCAGTTAAAGAGAAAGATCCAACTGAACTGTCAGAGCAGTCCTAGCATGCTCATTTGGCTCATTCAGAGTGTACCACTGTGCTCATTTCCAAGAGGATGGTTTTAGCTTTGCATTTAGCTATGACCACTGTGGATTCACGCTGCCCTTTCCAGCGGTACGGGATTACGGAGTGGCAGTCCGAAGTGTGTGTGTGCCGAAGCTGTCGGTGAAGTTGATTCAGTGCTCTCCGTGAGTCCCTGGAGCACCGCCCTGATGAAGGCCTCTCCTGGGCCAGGGCAGGTAATGGTCTCCACTCAGACAAGTATTGATTACGGCTCTCGCTCCCTTTCCACATCAGCGGCGCTCCCAAAATTCCCCCACTGACGTCCTGCACTGCTCCCTCCGCGCTGCCGGTGAATTTTTAATGCCCGGGAACATGGCGTCGAAGGATATGGGCAAATGCATTAGTGAAAAAAAAAACACGTCCTTGCATCAGACAAATCAATAACAACAGTGTTTGGGCTTTTTTTCTGATTCATGGTTGGGCTGAATCAGAAAAATGTTTGGTCTCCCGTTGACGAGAGAACAGCAGGAGCCCTTGTGGACAGTGACTTGTCTGATCCAATGTTGTAAAGCTGCAGTAGAGGCAGCTGTGACAGCAATGGACTCCAGTGCTGGGCTCCAGAGTTTCCGTACCAAACAAAACTTTTTTGAAGTACTAAAAGTTCAAGGAAGCTTTACACTTAGGAGCCCTGCATGGCTGCTTAGACAAAAGATGTCTTCACTGGACCACGATGAAAGACTCTTTGCTTCAGAGCTGCACTGGGGTTCACTTTGCAAAGCATTAAATCCTAGGAGACGAGAGAAGAGGAGTTATGAGATTAGACCTTCGCTAATTCATTCTCTTCCTGCTGCTGAACAGCCGACAGTCACCACTTAGTAAGTTAAAACCAATATCCTTGGTGGTACAGCCTCCATGTGGCTTTGCAGTGAGCAGACGGACTGTGTGTGTCCTCAGGTTTCATCCCCTTTATGAAGTATTCGACAGAGCTTTTATTAATTCCGGCAGTCGGCAAGACCATTCCTATTAAATGTTTTTTTTTTATAGAAGACACAGCTGTGAAATTGAATTTGTCAGGAGTGCAAAGGCTAAAATCCCTTTGATTATGGGTGCGTGGCTTTTAAATGTGCTCAGAGTCTGGTCTGTTTATTAAGTGATGAATACAGTGTGTTTAACAGAGCAATTTGCACACTATCCCTGGATGTCATTAGGACGCGTCAGGGTGACACTTTTGCACTGCCTCTGAAAGGTCTTTTCAGCACTTGTTAATGCGCACAGCCCTTGGTACTACTGAAATGTGGGTCTGGTTCTCCGTGAATCTCTGCAATAGGATGAGTGTGTTTTCTCCAAGCTTATTAAAAGAGATTTGCTGGTGACAGGAGCCTTCTGCTCACTTTCTGATCTCTAGGAAAGCTCGTCTCTTCCATGCACGTGAGCTGGCCTCATCGTTAGAGCAGAAGGTAGATTGCTAAACTCAACTTCGCTGTTGTTCTCAAATATTAGAGCACAGCATGAGCCATCCTACATCAACATCGTTTACCTGAGAGAGATGTGCAGCATGCATAACGCTGAAGAATTACATGTAAAGCCTCTGAATTGAGCTCCTCATGGGGTAATGAAACTACAGAAAAGTGCGTTCAAAACTGAGAACAGAAGGCTCTTCTTTACCCCAAAGGTTGTGGGAGTGTGGAACAAGCTGCCTAGCTGTGTTGTTGATGCTTCTTTCACAAAAAAAAAAACTGGAAGAGCTGGAAAATATAATTGCATTTTTTTCTGGGAGGGGGGGCATGTTATTTTTGGGGTTTTGAGGGATCAGAATATTTGATTTTGAAGCTCTGCATTTCCTGGTGCGTTTTCTGACACTGCAGAAGGACCTCTTCAGCCAGCACTGAGCTGCCAGGGGCGCAGCAGGGCAGGCAGGCGCAGGGCCCAGGGGACTCCCCTCAGCTCTGCTACAAACCAGCAGCTGCTTCCTCAGCCCCTGAGCCAGAACACTCCCTCTCCCTGCACCTGGCCAGAAGCCATCACTGCTCTCGGTCTGCAGAAGTAACCTCTGAGTGCAGGAAAAAAGGACGAGCATTTTCCAATGCATACTGTAGCAAGATGCATTCAGCAGTGTGCTGATTTACATACGAAATGCGAGGCACTGTATTTAAAATAACAGGCCTAGAGGAACAGCTCGGTGAGCCCGGAGACAATTTACGCTCTGATGGCTGCGTTCCTCTACCTTACAGATAAACTAGATTGGAGGGTATTTTGTCTCGTTGAATTGGGTCTGATCATTTGCTCTTGTGCTTTATCTTAACCCAGGGATCAACTCCGCTTCTAAAGTGAATTTGAAGCTTTTTTTTTTCTCGCTTTGGCAGTAAAAGGGCAGGACCAGCAAAAAGAGAATATTCCTGCCTTCAGCCGTGTATTGTTCGAGGAAAAGAAATGAATAACTTCTTCAACGCGAAGGTATTTAAAGTCCTTTTAAAAGCCACACG